CGTAGGTAAGTATGGGGATAAAGATCGACTTGAATATTAAGAGCTTAGTTTTCAGACCGAGCTCTGCTTTTGTCACAACGGGCTTTAGTTCACCCAGAACGCCACTAGCTACACCAATTCGCCGGTCGATCTCTTCGTCCAACTTTCCATCACTAGTAAATATAACGTTGCCAAATACTGTATGAAATGTATATACTCGTTACAGAGACTTAGGGCTCATCGCTACCACACCATCGTTAAATCGAAATAACAAGGACTGTCGAACTGTCGTAAAACGAGGAGCATCTGTACATCGAGAGAACGACAATAGAAGCGGTCAAGACAAGATTCATGATAACAGATATTTTCACGTGGTTGTTCATGTGTAGTGTGAATATCGCTGTATTCAGAATATGATAATTTCGAATAGTCCCTACAATTCGATTCTTCCATACGTCATATGATCTCCTGAAATTGGTTGATGCCAGCCAACGACGTCTTTTTACTTCAAGATTAATGTTACCATCATTAACCAACAGAGTTCATAGGTACTTGAAAGCACCTACCCCTTTCACCGCCATACCATTTCGTAATATCCTCTGAATGACGATCACCGCCATAACCGTCGTCGTCAGAACGCTGACCTGCAGCTATCACAGTAACGGCACTAACACTTTTGACCATGCCAGTAAGCTATTTGCGGAGACGCCCAACAGCACGGTGTCATTGGCCTACTCAAGGTTCGCTGGAAATTACGACGGGCATGATGAATGATGTCAGTCCCTCACTGAGCTGAGGGATCGCGCTCTACTGCCTGTAGAGCATTCCAATGCGTTGATTAACAAAAGAAAAAACATCTCGCCTTTACGAACTCCGCTGGTGAAGTTAAGTCAGCTTGACAGTTACCTTTGAATTCGGACGGCGTATTTTATTCGCTCATAGAGGCATTCTATCAGGCATACTATTAACTGTGGAATTCTGTCGTGTCAAATGACTCGCCACATTTGTTCACCACAAATTATCTATCCTCTTTTAGTAACGGTGATGGATCTGATTACAGTATCATTACCACTACTGAGACTTATAAATGATGTACTTTCGTCAGCTTTCAAAATTACTGCATTACATTCTATACTGGAGATGGTTCTCGTCGACCGCACGCAGAATTCCAACGACGAACAAAAATGCTAGACAGTAAATACGAAAAAAAGTCGTTCGACGAATTAAAAGTGACGTCATTAAACTAGGACTCAGGATGGTGCAGAAACGGCAGACTGAATGTGTTTTCATTGTGCTAATCGTGTACTCAAGAAGACAGCACTTTTAGTCATTCAAAGCAGATTGGCCTATGAGCTTTCGAAGATAACTTCAGAACGGTTTCCATTAACGGAGGAACCCAAGTTTATCATTAAATCAAGTAAAACAGCATTTCTTTGTTTGTATCAAAAATCAAACAATTATAATCATCAATTTTTGAACGGTTAGCAGCGACCCCCAAAATATCGACGGTAACACAGCAATATTTTTTCGAACATTAAGGTACAACTTTGTCAGCATCATAAAGCACAGGCAAATGAAACATTAAGTTTCTGAATTTTGTCAATAATTGCATCTTGCGTTTATACAATATAGTGCATTTTTGGTGAACACATTACGTGAAATTATAATCGACCATTGACTCACCTGACGTGCGCCACAAACAACTGGTACCATACACTCGGGCTCAGTAGCCTGTGTCGACTCGTCGACCAGCACGCAACGAAATTTGATGCGCGCGAGACGCGGGTCTCCGGCTCCGACGCAAGTACAGCAGACGACGTCCGCGGCTTGCAACAGTTCACGCTCGCATGCTTTCTTCAGTATGCGGTAGCGTTTCTCATCGGCACTGCTCAGTTCCCCGGTCTCGTCTTTCAGCTGCTGTAGCTTCTGCAGCTCTGTCTGTCTAAATTCAAATGAGTGAGTTCCAGATCCAAAACAACTTTATTCCGAATAATAGCATATCAGTCGGAGTCGGTCGAATGGACGTAGCCATTTTAAAAATTACTTAAAATAGATGAATTGCGCTCCATTTCGAAGCCTTCCGTTGGCGCAACGAACACTATTTTGTTAACAGCCATTACCGCGCCGCGAATCATTAAAATATTGCTATTTGTAAATGAAAGCTTCCCAGCCATAATGCAAGTTAACATAACGTTCACCGCCGTACGATGAACAGCTGATTAACCCTCGACTGAGTTTACCTGCCTAGCAGATATGCTGTAAAACAACCGAAACTGTTAAAAGTACCATATCAATAATGGAATATGAAGTTCCCTGAAACTAAAACCTGTATATGTATATTAAAAATATGACTATTACAACAAATATACGGTGTTGCATTGAATCGCAAATCCGTTGCCTGCTTAAATGGTCCTTTTCGAGCGTAGAAGTAAAAGTGAGGTACCGAGCTTGCCGTATAGATTCGATGAAATGCATAAATTATTCTCAAAGACAGTGCCAGCGCGAATCAACTCTAGTCAGTTAGAAAAGAAAAGATTTTAGAACAAAAAACACCTTTTCTTACCCCTCCAGATTACGAATTTGGTTGTGCAAAGCGAGAAAGGCTACGGGCGAATCGATCGCTTCTCGGGACTTCGCGCACAATCTGACGACTCGCAGACCGGTACGGTGAATCTTTTCCGTCAACTGATCAACAGCGATGTTACTGGGAGCACAAACCAAAACCGAACACCCCGTCTGACGAACCAAATGATAGACAACAGTGGCCGAGGTCACAGTTTTGCCAGTACCAGGAGGACCCTAAACATATGACGCATAAGAATAAAAACATCACATCTGCCCAAAATTGCCTGAATCAAACTCAAAGGCCGTTGCAAAACGGTTTTCACCGCGTACACTTGACTGTGGTTCAGTTCGGGTAGCCCAGGAGCAGAAAAACGTTTCGGTAATTGTACTTTCAATAGTATGTCATCGACTTCGTGACCAAGTAGTTTGTGATAAATGTAACTGGATACCGACGATTCGTCTACTTCAAGGGTTTGAAGAGCGGCTTTCATCCTAAATGCCAGCTAACATGAGTAAATCATATGGAAAAGCGGTTAGTTGAAGAAACACGGTAATAATGAATTAGAATTTTAGTCCCACAAAACCCTAAAAAATCCGTTTTACATATATACAAACGATTCAATGGTTAAAGAAGAAACGAAGAAAACTCAGGTTAACGCTTATCTGCAAATTGCAAACGTTTCAGCTAACGAACACTGACTATCGTCCGCACAAACAAAGCAGGTCAGAATGTAACGCTAGCAACAAAACCGTACTAAATTCGTCTTGATAAATTTGATACCAAATACTAAATTCGTTGAATAAATAATAAGCAAGTCGAAGAAGAAAAGATGCAAATAAATCTTAAAAATCGCAAAATGATTTTTTGCCATGAATTCTAGATGCTGTGAGCTATTATTAATAAACTTTATTGTTTTTAATCAATTTGCAAAAACTGTCAATGTTATATCCTATCGCGTTTCGTCATAAAAAGCCATAAACAGAACCTGTGATGTTATAAGAAAAACAATTAATTCAATATTATTGCTTCAGTACGAATAATATCGCGAATACTGAAAGATTAGTGACGGTTGTGAGACTAACAAAGAGCTCATCAGTTTTTGAACAAGCAGGCAGAAGCAGCCTTAATACATATTACATTTGTTATTTAACGGGATTCAACTAATATGCTTAAATAGATAATATATGCCTGAAAAACAGACTTACTAGTCACGCCATATGAATCTCATTCCGTAAATAACAGAACGTTTCATGCAAC